ACATGAAAAAGAGGGAAAATGAGAGCTCTCTTACAGAAGAGCCAAGAAATCAAAGGGAAATTCAAACATAGATTAGTAATGCTGAAAGACAAACAAGGGGACGTACATCCAGATCCTGAGAAAATAAAGAGAAGGTGGAAACAATATGGAAGCATGATAGATTCCTTCAAAGAGGAATCCTACCTTAAAGGTAGCTTGTAAAATTGGAAAACAAAGTGAAAACTGCTCTGAAAGTTCATGGAAGGAGCAAAGCTTCTGAAGTAGGCTGGTACCAAAAGAACTATTCCAAGCTGCAGTGAATGAATCAGTCCAAATCCTGGGTGAGAATATCCCAAAGAATATGGGAAATGCACACATTTGGGCCCAGTGTCATGTCTGCCAAAGCCCCAAACCTGGATGGGTCCCAGGGACAAGAGCACCCTGGAGTGGCACTTGCTTTTCACTGTGGCAACCTGCTTATTCGCCTGCCTCTTGCTCTGGCCCAGATAGCCCTGGTGTTGGGAAGAAGGAGCAGTTTACGCCACTGCTTACTTGCTCACTGGTTGGCTTTCTGCCTATTGAGCAAACAAGTGGCAGCAACAGGGAGGAAGAGGCTGAGAAGCGGCAGCAGCTGGGGATGTGGCAGTGAGAATGTAGAACTCACTGAGGGAGAGCACCCTTTCGGAGGGTATCTGGTACAAGAGCCCCAAAGAAACCTGAGAAACCTACAAAGAAGGAAGGGAAACTGTTAATTACCTTCTGTTTTATATGCTGTTGTGAAGACCCATGGTGGAAAGCATCACACTAGATTTTATCCATAAACCATGTTGGAAACGACGTTGGAACGGACTGTGCAGATGTGCATATACTTCTCTGTGAAATGTGTTTTATTTTTTCTTTTAAAGGTGATTCTTGATCTAGAGTAAATTATGGCATGCATTTTAATTAGCTCAGAGCCAAGCTCCTCATTCCTCATGTGTGACTCTTTGCTTCTCTTGGAGCACTGTGAAAGTCATTAGGCATCTGTTTCTGGCAAAATGCAGGTCTTCTCATTAAAAGCACCATGACAGGTCTTTAAATGGACAGATTGTGTGCCAGTGGAGCTAAGATGGTATAGCTCAGATGCACTGGAGCTTCCCCTACTTTTTAAAATATGCATTGGAAAGCTGGTTTGTATGAAAAGCAAGCTTCAGATGGTAGCTCTCAAACAAGCAGGTTTCACGTCTTTAAATATGTGGTTGTGCCGTCAAAGGGGATTCACCAATTTTGTCATACCTTGAATATATTTTAAGACAATGTCTTTTTTTCTACCCAAAGAGAGCACAGTTCAGTAAGTCACTGAAGATGTTAATTAAAAACTACCCTGTAGTTTGTGGCATTTCAAAAGTTCCCCTTCCATCAAAGCCCATCAGGAAATGTTGTTATGGAAAATATGAATCCACTGATAACCACATAATTGTGCCTTCTGAATATTTGTATTTCAAAATAGATGTATGGTTCTGATGAAATTATTACACAAGGCACTTCCCAGTGACAACTTCTTCAGATGTCATAGCACACAAATACAGGAAGCTAAAATACAGAAATTCTGCAAAATAGCACAGTCCAGTGTGGGAGTTTGGCTATGCTGCCTGGGTTGCTAGTTCATTCAGTCCTTGTGAAGGAATCTCAGACTCTTCCAAGCAGACCCTGAATAGTTTGTCAGAGTCCAAACTCTGATGATATTTCTTTCTTCTTTCTTTAATACATATGCACAGCTGATATCACAACTGTTTTATTTCAGTGATAACTTAATTCTTTGATAATCTTTTGGTGCAGGAACTTGGTCAATCAGCTGTCAGCGAGAGAATTTGCTCTTCCTTCTACATTCATCCAATCAGAGTGACTTATAAGACGGACTATTCAGAATTACTTGAGACTTTGCAATTTAGATGGATAGTCTCTTCATGTGTTTAGGTTGCAGCTTGGTGAACTTTGACTTAAGCTGCCTGCCCACATGCGCTCAACTCTAAAACTTTATGACTTCTCTGCATGAGGCATTGATCCTGTGGCTTTGCTGAGGCGTCTTCCATTTTCATTGTGGGAGGAAGAGCACCTACCCAGGGCCTCATACTTTGTCTTCCTCTATGTTTTATTAAACAACCACAAGGTATGGCTGAAGGATGGTGCAGACGAAAAACTGGGAAAATATGAAGCTAGTTTCTAGCACTACTTAGGGATATAGTAGACAATGCTGAACTTTCCTCACTAAAAGCAAAAAAGAACCCCACAACATTCCTGGAAAACATGAGAGAAGTCCTGGAGGAAGATGACTTCATGAGTGCTGGACCATGAGTGCACGATAAATGCCTAAATCCCACTAAACATTTGTGGGATTGGTTCCTTAGTATTTTTTGTATTGGCAAACCCACTACATCCAAAAGTCCTACCACACAGAATGTGTAGAGATGGTTCTCACTGTGGAGCAATGTGAGTGATTTCCCCTTTACTACAATGTTACATCTGATCCAGCATTTATAACTTTACAAATGTAAAGTAGGAGAGGCAGGAGCATGATTGGACTGGGGGTAAAGGGCAATGGATTGCTCCGTTGGTTGCTTCTCTGCGATCCCATGGAAACTGATGAAGTTTAGCCATTGATTTGGCCAGATGATGCCATCAGTTCTAGCCTAGAACCAAAGCAGACCCGTGGAGTCAATTCTGCTGATTGCAAAAAAGACTATTTTGCAACTGTGTCACCATGCACAGATGGACAGTCCTGAGCTGGGGCTGTTTTCTTTGCAGCACTGCAGAGCGGCTGCTAGAAAATATAGAGAGCCCCTCCTGAATGACCAGAATTAAAATGTCAGCTTGATTCTCCAGAAAATTGGCTTTCTGATTAACAGAAATACTTCCAGAAGAATAAGTTCTCTTTCTGAAATGCATGTCTGTTCTCACAAAACAGGCAGGATGCAATATGCTTTGAGGATTAAAACACTTAATCTAGGCATTTGATGAGAAGACCTGACAATCAGCTGGTTACCATCCACGTGTATGAACACATTTAAGTAAATCATTTTTATTTATCTCAAAATACAATAATGTTTTATAATATTAACCAAACAATATTTAAATGTTTAAAAATGCTCTTGAAAATGCTTGTGCAAGCAATCCAAAGTTATGAACTGTGGTAGTTCTTTATATTTATGGGAGTATTCAGAAATTTCTTCCATTTAGAGATTTACAGACACATTTGTTAGTATAAATAAGTACAACATAAGATTATATCCAACCAAAACAACAACAAAAGAAGCAATATGATTTATTTTTATTTAATTTTATTTAAAAATTTCTATGCCGCCCCATTTGCCAAAGCCTCGGAGCGGCTTACAAAACATCAGTTAAAATATAAAACACATTAACATTATAAAATAAGTCACCCTGGCCAAAGAATTAAGCAAATAATATAGCAATTAAAATGACGTTTGAATAAAAAGGTCTTCGCCTGGCGCCGAAAAACAAATAACGACAGTGCCAGGCGGACCTCTCTGGGGAGCACATTCCATAGACTGGGCGCCACCGCAGAGAAAGCCCTACTCTGAGTACCTACCCTCCTAATTTCCTTCACGGAGGGTTCCCGGAGAAGGGCCTCTCCCGCAGATCGCAGGGGGCGGGCAGGCGTATATGGCCGTAAGCGCTCCTTCAGGTAGCCAGGACCCAAGCCGTTTAGGGCTTTATAGGTCATCACCAACACCTTGAATTGAGTCTGGACTTCAATGGGAAGCCAGTGAAGCTGATGGAGGACTGGAGTCATGTGAACATAACGCCCAGTCCACGTCAGCAGCCTGACAGCTCTATTTTGAACCAATTGAAGTATCCGGACCATCTTCAAGGGTAGCTCCACATAGAGCGCGTTACAGAAGTCAAGGCAGGAAGTCACCAGCGCGTGTGTCACTGTCGCCAGGCAGTCGTACTCCAGGTAGGGGCGCAGCTGATGGATCAGCCGAAGCTGAAGGAAAGCGCTCCTCGCCACTGCTGTCACCTGAGCTTCCAATGAAAGCTCTGGGTCGAGGAGCACTCCCAGGCTGCGGACCTTGTCCCTAAGAGGGAGTGCAACCCCATTCAGGACAAGGTTCAATTCACCCTCTCCGAAGCCCGATCCGCCAACCAACAGGACCTCCGTCTTGTCTGGATTGAGCTTCAGTTTATTGGCCCTCATCCAGCCCATTACCTCGGCCAGGCACCGGTTCAGCACAGCCACTGCCTCACCTGGATTGGTGGAAAACGAGAGGTAGAGCTGGGTATCATCAGCGTACTGATGATTCCGCAGCCCACTCCTCCTGATGACCTCTCCCAGCGGTTTCATGTAGATGTTAAACAGCAAAGGGGACAAAATGGACCCCTGCGGTACTCCATGGCATAGCTGCCATGGCGCAGAGCCATAGTCCCCCAGCACCACCTTCTGGAATCGGTTATTGAGGTAGGAGCGGAACCACTGCAAAGCAGTGCCTCCGACCCCCAATCCCGCCAGCCTATCCAGAAGGATACCATGGTCGATGGTATCAAAAGCCGCTGAGAGGTCCAGAAGAACCAACAGGGACGCAGATTTCTGTATGTGTCAGCCGCAAAACCAATTAACCCAATTAAAGTCAGACAAAGAATACCGATGGAATAAGACTTACATGAGCAGTCCAGTAATAGTTTTAGTGCAGACTGCCAACCTGTTAAAATAAAAACGGCCTGGCTTGCTCTTATGCATCTAAGAGCAGCATGGCATGAATAAATCAGTAAACAAATAATTTTTCATCATGGGGATAATCATAACTACCTGCTAACATTTGAAAATTAAGACACTGTTACAGGCACAGATGTAATGGCAAGCAGAAGAGTTTGCATGCCTCCTGATCTTTTATTTTATTTATTTATTTATTTATTTATTAAAACATTTTTATGCCGCCCCATTCGCCGAAGCCTCGGGGCGGCTCACAACATAAATTAAAATACAAAAGATAACAATATAAACCTGGAGTGCAAAGAATACCTTATGGAAAAGCCCTAAAGTAATCTTTTAAAGGAACGAAAAACTCCCTAATAAGAGTGGCTGGACGTTGAGAGAAAATTCGGGTCCTTTGGATGTGCTTTGCCAGCAGAGATAAACCCATGCATAAGGATGAAGCAGAATACTTACTGGAAGTGGGGCGGGGGGGGGGGGAGGCAATGTTTTTGTAATCCGTAATAGAATAAAACCCCCTTCCTGCAAACATGTCTGGATCTCACTCTTCCCCTTAAAAGGTATTACTCACCTCTTCATTCAGATTTTCACTTTAATAGGAAGGTTCACGTGACATGCTAAACCTGCTGCAAATAAACTATATTGTGGTTGTTTGTGGAACAGCCTGTGGTGCATCTGACAGATGCCTGGATCCATCATTCCCTTTTCCTCCCATCAGTCCTCCAGTACCTTGGTGTCCTTTCTTGTGTCCTCATCCCTGCACCAATTGCTATTTCTTTTTGCTGCTTTTTTATTTTTCAGACCACAGAAATATGCAATTGTAATTATTTTTGCTTGTGGAAAATTATGAAATTATGTTTCATAATTACGTTATACTTTTTTTATGTTTTCCTCAGTCTTTTGCAACTATGCAGGAACATATAGCTGTCTGATATGTGTAGTCGTGCCTGCTCAATTCCCTTGTATGTTTTAGTGACACAGGGAGCATGGAAGAGAAGTAGGCAACATGCACAGAAACTGAGAGGTGAGATTGCATATAGGCTACTTTGGGCACAGCTGCCAGTGACCAATGGCCAAGCTGTCAATTGAAAAGCAGCAAAGGGGAGGTGGAGTGGGGGAAGCGGCAAAAGTAGGTGTACCTAAAGTAGAAGTAATCCTCCCGATTAGCAAAGCAGTGCTTTCCTTGTAATGTGTTGAACTGACACTTGTCAGTGCCCTTCACCTTTCCAATACTTCCCCAAATGTTCAGCTAGTTCAGGAAGGGGAGGCATTATCTCCCCTGCTTTTCGCAGCTTCTTTTCAGATCACGCACTGCTGCAGTTACTGCCGCAGTAACAACAGCAGTGCTCAGAAGGTGGCTGAATAGGGCTGGCATTATGGGAATATTATGGAGATGGCCTAAGAGTTGTTTGCCACTGATGTACTAGTACCGCTCCCAATCCACTGTGAAAGAGGAGTGCTGCACCAAAGGCGGCTCCAGTGGCAGCAAACCAAGTTCAGTGGGACTTCCTAGGACAGAGGTCGGCAACCCGTGGCTCCGGAGCCGCATGTGGCTCTTGAACCCCTCTGCTGCGGCTCCGTCGCTCAAAACACGCGCCGGCACAGCCGCTGATCTGCTCGAAGCTCCACTCAGGAACGCTAGCTAGTTAAGTAAATCAGCTAGTTAAGTAAATTGCTACATTCCTCTGCTAAACAAGCTTCCTGCAGGCTTTCATGTTACACAAAACTCTGCTGAAAAGATTCTCTTTGTCCCTCCTTCATCTGAATGTTAAAAGTTGTGCTTGGGACCTGTCACAATTCACAGTACTTGACTGTTTATCTGCTAATAAGTCACTAAACGCACCTATATCTCTGGCACAGCTACTGATCTGCAGATCCCCTGCTGATTTACTGAGTTCCCCACCCTCCCAGGCCAACCATGGATAAATCAAAGACAAGAAAAGTTTCTGAAGAAAACCAAACTTTTAATGATACTAATGATATGTAGGTAGATTCATTTGCTTTTACTGCTGATGAACTTATGGGGTTTGCTGTTTAATGCATGCAGCCCTTTAGCACTGACTTTGACTCTTCAGGAAGCTGTTCTCCTATTCAAAATATATGAAAGGAGTCCTACTAGTTTATAATGTAAGATTAAAAATAACAGTTTTTAGTGACTGAACAAGAGCTGCAGCTAAATCATAATAAAGATATACATAGCATTAAGGTAAAAAACGATATATGCAGTGTTATCTTCATTTTAGATGTCAAAAGGGTTTTGCGGCTCCCGGTGTTTTCTTTTGTGTGGGAAACGGGTCCAAATGGCTCTTTGAATGTTAAAGGTTGCTGACCCCTGTCCTAGGAAATGGACATAGATATTGTTGAATGTACAAAATATAAAAGAGTAATGGAGAAAATATTTGGGTTTCTGTGTGATCATTTGTGTGTGTCTATGTGTCATCATGATGAATTTGTCTAAAATTGAGATTTCTTGGAATATACTGGTAGTGTACTTTAATAACCAGGAACTTAATAAAAACGCATGAAATGATCCTTAACGGATGTTAAGGACTTCAAGGCTGTTAACCACTGCAGCTAGTTTTGGTTTGATTGCATCACAGAGATGCAAGCTCTGCATAAAGAACTCTTCTTACTTTCTTGCTTTTCTTGCTGAAGTGGAGCTGAGCTACAGCAGAGCAGCTCAAAGGAGAAGCATCACCATTTCCTCTATTGTAATTTAATATCTCACTTGCCCCAGCCCAAACCCAACCAACCGACTAACAAAACCCCTTGGAAAGCATTCTGGAAACACAGAAGTGAAACTGGAAGATCACAACTTCATCCGAAGAGCCCAGAAGTGACTGTGACGAATGAATCATCAACACACAATGAAGGTCTTGCATAGATGACTAATGCTTGTGGATGGTTGTGGATGGTTGTCTGAATCATCACGTTCAGGCATACAGAGGTGAGATCTGAGATGGGTGCTTGGTAGGTTGAGTGGGGGAAAGCACCACATTTGACTCTGGATGGGGACAGAAGGAAGCATGTGACTTGCCTATATAAAAACCACCTTAAGTGCAGGGTCTCCCTCTGCCCCAAATGACAGTGTCATAAACACAGTTTTTTAGAAAGCATGATTAATCAAGGCTCTTTTTTTTCTTGAGAAAAAGCATCTGTATGGCCCTGGTCCAGAACATTCCCCCAGTCCAGATCAACACCCTGTCCACTGCAAACATGCAAATGCAAGAGGAGCTGAGCAGGACCAGACCTGCTCTCACCTTCTGGCCAACCAACTGCTCGTGAGAAGCTCACAAGTGGGGCATGAACATAAGAGCGCCAACTCTCCGTGTTCCCCAGGAACTGGTATCCAGATGTGTAGGTAATATTCTGGGTTCTGTCCTTAGGACAAGGAGGACCACTCCAAAGAACTAAAGAGTACTTACCCATTCTTTTGGATTTCCATTAACTAAGGATATTAATCAAATAAAGAGGACCAAGAGAGCAAAGATGTGCACTACCTTTAAACTACCACTATCTGCAAAGCACAAGGTAGTCAGTCAGGCCAGCAAGAGTTGCTTGTCCCACCACCTTCAGGCAGCTGTTTCCAGCTTCTGTTGTGGAGGCCTTCCCACAGAGGGCTGCTCTGCCTGCCCATTTCTCTTCTACACCACTCTCCCTGCCTGAACTTCCTTCTCAGCCACACTCCTCTGTTTGTTGCAGCTGCCATGCTGCCTCCGCCTCCTCTCTCTCTCTCTCTCTCTTTCCTGCATAACTTTACACAGTTCACTTTTTTAAGGAGGTGTTACAGAGTAGGTGTCACGCTTCTCATACTGCAAGTACTGTCTAGCCATCAGAAGCAATAGTGATTGCAGGGCTGTCCCTGCCATTGAGCAGGTGAGTCAGCTGCCTCTGGCAGCAGGAAATGGGAGGAAGTAGCAACATACGGGAGGAGAGAGCGGGGGGGGGGGGGGGGGGGGGCCCCCCCCGTGTCCTGGGGGGGGGCCCCCCCCCCCGGGGGGTGGGGGGGGGGGAGGGAGAAAAAAGGGGGGGGGGGGGGGGGGGGGGGGGGGGGGCTGGCAGCCCCCTCTGTGTCCTTAGGGTAGCCTCCTGCCTTCAGGTTCAGTAGTGCTGAAAGTGAGAAAGATGCCTGATTTGGGCACTTGTTCTCAAGGACTGCTGACTGGGTTGCAGAGGAATTGGGGTCAGAGGATGAAGCAGAACTGGGGGAAGCCTGGGAATGAGGTCCAAGCCTAGGCTTTGAGATGGGAGAGGCAGAGATGCTTATCTCAAGGCCAGATCCGCAGGGGGATAGGCAGTCCTGGGAACAGCCAAGATGTACAGCTGGAGGGAGGGAACTCAGAGCAGGGGAGTTCCTCAGACAGAGACCAGGCAGCTCTTGAGCCTCTGGAGGGCAGCCGATGATAGGATAGGCATGTGCAGAAAAGGTGTGCTTACTGTCAGAAGGCTCCCTCTGAAGGGATGGGGCCCAGGCACACTCCTAACGAGAATTCCTGGAGGTGATTACTGGATCGGGTTCAACACATTGCCCTGTGCAGGCTCTGAGGTTCATTCTGGGCATTTCGTGCCTTTTGGTCAACAAAGAAAGGACAATGTCCTGTGGCTTCTGACTGTGCAAAGGAGGAACCCTGCCTCGCAACAAGCGGAGGATGTTGTCCCATAGACTTAGGGCCAGCTTCTGTGCATGGAATGGCATGGAGCGCAGTCTCACGCTTTGTCCCAGGCAGCAAAATGGCTTCGGCCTGTGCCACGGGTAGCCCTGTCCTCCAGCAATTTGTAATGGCACCTTTGGGGTCAAATTGCTATTTTTGGAAGGGAAGTAGCACGGCACTCCATCTTGTGATGGATCATGGCCCAAATTTGCCAGTTCTCTTCTGCCTGGCTGATTGCATTGCTCGTTTGGCCCTGTGCCTAGCTCATTGCCTCTTCAGTGCTTTCCAGGGCAGCCCTACATTAGCAGAAACGTTTGCTTCTGTAAGGAGGCAGGTTGGTAGAATTTGCGTGTGGGACCTCCACTGACTTGCTTCCCTCCAGAAATAAGCCTTTCTGTTAGGGTTGGGGCTTCCCCTAGGAAGTATTAAATCTTGCTTGCATAAGTTGTAGGCGCTGATGAGAATGCAAATGACAGGCTCACCATTTGCAGAAGAGAAATGCTGGGACAGAAAGGAGCAGGAAGGCATGTAAACACCCCATGAAATTCCATCCGAATGTCTCATGGCTGCTTTTCCTCAAAAGCGGGAAAAAAGCGTCATAACACGCTGTGTGGGGATCTGATATGGAATAACAACTCTCTTTTGCTGCTTGATTCCATTTGTGCTCCTTTGATCTATTTGTTAGGTCCCCAGTGTTGACGCTCATTCAGAGAAAAGTAAACCCCTCTAGCTCTGTCCCTGAAACCACGTATAGCCTGGAAAAGTGGACAGTGAGTGGGATGGTGTAAGCTGGTGACCTGCAATAGCAGGGGGTTGGACCCATCGCTTTCTTGGCCCCATCCAACTCGACTATTCTATGATTCTATATTGCTCCACAGGAAGGGGATAAATAGGCTTAACTAAACCGGAATATTGGCTCACCTTCCTCTGGCTAATTACAGCCAGCGTGGCTCTAGAGTGCCTGTATGGTGGTGAGAGCATTGGAATGGGGACTGGGAGAGCCAGGTTCTAGTCCCCACTCAGCCATGGAGTTCAGGGGATGACTCTGAGCCAGTCACTCCCTCTCAGCCCAACCTGCCCCACTGTTGTGCCTGAAGCCCCGACAGAGGAGTGTCATGCCTGAAGCCCCAACAGAGGCAGCACCTCACAAGGCGGTCTTGTGCTTGGGACCCTGTATCTGCTTAGCCACCCCCAAGCTAGGTTGCGGGGTTGGCTTTTGGATACAGGGTCCCAAGCACAAGACCTCCTCGTGAGGTGATGCCTCTATTGGGGCTTCAGGCACGACACCCACTTGGTTGTTCCTGTGAGGATAAAATGGAGCTCTAGAAGCTGCCTTGGGTTCCTTACAAGTGGAGAAATGGTGGGCTATAAATGCAATGCCATAATAATGTTGACATAGTTTAGTGGCACTGATACTGGGGGAATTACCTTAGATGTGGAGGTTTAGAATTGCTTAAAGTTGCCAAGAGAGTCTTCCTCGGATAAAATTTGACGGGTCTTGTGTATGAAAGTTGTTATGGCAGGGCAGAGAATCTGTGACCCTCCAGATGATGTTATACTCCTAGTCCTATCAGCCCCAGCCAGGGTGGCTAATGCTGAACAACCCAGTGACACCTGAAACACTACAAGCTCCCCACCACTGTGTTTTGGCCTATGTCTTTCAGGAGGGCACATGATCTACTGAGTCACTGTCATTCAGGGTGTCTCTTTTATGAGACATTTATTGTGTACTTTGCATTCCATACACTCAGTGGTTTATGGGTTGCCAAAGTTGTGATCCTTCAATTTCACTTCTCTTTTAGAAGAACACCTTAAAACCGTGAGTATCTTCTAGTTTCTACAGGGTCTGAGCTCCTGCATGTTGGAGTCTGATAGGCAGGAAGTAAATAATAACCCTCAGAGTAACAGGGAAACAGGAAAACCACAGGAACATGGAAAATCGCAAGCATGTTCAAGTATCCTACAAATGGTTTGAACTCAAAAAGAAGACGATGATGATGCACCATGGCAAGACATCTGAGAAATAAATTGCTCACCTGTTAACAGATGGGATATTGCTCCAGATGTGCACTGCATTTTGGATGTTGTTATTATGTTGTTTATACCTAAGAACTGCTTCAACCTATTTAAAGAACCAATCCATATTAATTTCTCAAGACTTAGAAGTATCTGGCGCTTCAGAAAGAGTATAAGACATGCTGTATAAGCAATCCTGGATTGGCTTTCTTGCTAGCCAAAAACACTTTTGTCTTTCCTAGATGAATCTTTAGCATGTTCTTCCAAAACCAGTCCAATCACATCTCCAGAAAACTTCAACATCTCAACTACTTTCTCAAAGTGTGTGTGTGTGTGTGAGAGAGAGGGGGGGGGAGGGAGGGAATGCATGAGCAGGGTATGGGGATATGATACCCCATTCCTATTTTCCAATGTGTGTTGGCTTCATCCTCTCTGGTTCAACCCTGCCACACTGAGTACATGGTCTGTACAGTCCTCTTCTCAAGTTCACTTGAATGCATATAGAGGACTTCCCATGATCCAGAATTCTGAGCAGGAATAACAGAACCATTGATCAGATCTTGCCACTCAATGTGGTAATATTGGCATACTGAGATGTATGCAGCCCAATACTCCTCCTCATGTGTTGTCATACCTTATTTATGTCAGGCTTAACACTCACAGATAGGGATGTGATCCACATATGGATAATGTTGCACTCCAGATCTCCCACAGAGGTTTCATGGTGATGTTAGTCATTCCCCAGGTTGGAACTACTGGCCATAGGTCAATTGCTAAGTGGATGAACAGCAACCATCCTTCTGGGACCTGCCTTCCAGGTAGGTCTGGAACGAGAATGAAATCATATTCCTAGCCCCATCTTGGCTAGTCAACCCAGGAGGATACCATGACTGACAGTACTGAAAGCTGCTGAGTGGATGCATCCCCTGATTCAGTTTCTGACACAGTTGTCCTTTAGGGGAACCAAAAGCAAGCCAAACGACAGGCTGCAGACTACGAAGGGTCCAGATGACCAGCATCATCCAAGAAAGCATGAAACCGGGGCTGCCATCGCACACTCAAGCACCTGACTTGAGAATGGACTCTCTGGTGCAGGCTGATGTTGCCAAGGCTGGAGGGATATTAAGGGTTGTCCCCCACACCCAGGGGTATTCTTGCCACTGCTTCCTTAGGAGCAGCTGGTATCTAATCCTCCAGAAATGCAACATGAAACATCCATTCTCACACTAGACTGTTCATCTTGGGCCACTCTTATCAGCCGGGACAAGCGAGAGCTGAGACTGTGGCTGGTTGGCCTCATATGTCCACAAATTATGGCCACATCTTCAGGCCAAATGAGCTGAAAAGTATCCACAGCAAGAGGGAAAGCAGGAGCCTCCTGTGCATCTACTTGAAACAGCTGAGGACTGAGAAGAGTCTGTAAACACCCTACTTCTCCATATTCTTGCATCTCTCACCAGAGCCTATGTGGGAAGAAACAGCAGAAGTGGCAACAGCCGGGATTAAAAAGCTCTTCCTTGAAAATACAAGATTAACATCTGGCTGCTCTGAGAGCCATTTGCAGGCTGGGGTCATTCTCCTCTAAGAATGCTGTGGCCCAAGGACTGAGGAGCAGTGTGGGAACTGAAACATCTGAAGACAGTAAAGACAGGCTTGTGAACAAATTAAGATGTGTGTACAGATGTTATCTGGGCATCTGACACCAAGAGCCAAAATAGCACAATGTATCAGCAACTACAGCAGCGTATAATGGAAGAACTCAGCCATGAAGAACCCGTATCTTCTCTGTCAGTGCTTCTGCTGAGATGTACCTTGGACCAAAACTTCAGAAACAGAAGCAGCAGCTGCAGCTTCTGAGGTCTGGAGGGAAAGTTACATACAACTTTTCCATGTGACTCATTTATTCTTGGTATTTTGAATGTATTGTAAGTCACATCGTGAATATGGATTAGTGTGTGTGTGTGTAGGGGGGTATAAATGCTCCAACGAAATTAATAATAAACTATAGGGGTTGGAAGCAAGTTTGGTCCCACAGTCAGAAAATCATGCCATTTGTGGAAGAGAAATTCTGCATCAGTGGAAATGATAGTTGTTTACACATCCATGCCACATTATTTTGCAACTGCAAATCGATCTATTGAAAATCTATATTTAGTGATGTATGTAAGTATTGCACATCATTTTCTCTGTCAGTTCTGAAAAACATCCTTTTTCCACTTACCTGAAAAAAACGGGATGCTGTATCTCTGGCCTCTTTGTCAAGAACTATATTGTCTAAAAACATCCAGAAAATGGCTTGTTGCATCTTTCTGCAGGTTTCCCATACTGAAGTAGACGAAAGTACTGATAAAAGTACCAGGCTTTAGAAGGCAGAGAGAAGAAAAAATCAGCCATCAAAAGATGCCTTGGAAAGTAAGTAATTTGGGGCAACTAAAATGATCAGGCACAGGAATAACTGCCCAGTAAGGAAAATTTACAGCAGCTTGGATTGTTTAGCTTAGAAAAAGGTGAGTTAAACAATATTTATTTATTTATACTTTGAAATTTTATATACTGCAACCTATAGCCCAATTTAGGGTTCGCTGGGTGGTGATATGGGGGGTGGGGTACAGAATTAACCATGGTGATCAGAAAGAGAGAGATTTAGGGAGAGATTTTTCTTCAAATAATACTGGGACCTTGGGACCATCTCATGAAGCTGATTAATGGGAGATTCAGCACTGAAAAAGGAAGGACTTCCTCACATAGCATGTAGCTGAATGATGGAATTCGCTTCCACCAGATGCAGTGATCCCCAAAGGGAATTGGGCAAATTCATGAAGGATAAGGATAAAGGATAAGAGTCAGTGTCTATAAATACTGATGGATAAATGCTACCACCAGTGGCAGAAGTAGCTTGCTTATGCGCACCAGTTGTTGGAGAACTTGGGTGAACTGGGGTGAACTGGGAAGCTGATATTTGTTTTTCAGTGCCAGGCGAAGACCTTTTTATTCAAATGTCATTTTAACTGTTAATAGTATTTATTTATTTTATTCTTTGGCCAGGGCGACTTAATTTATACTGTTAATTTATATTATTTTATCAAAGTAATTTATGTTTGTGAGCCGCCCCGAGGCTTCGGCGAATGGGGCGGCATAGAAATTTTTCAAATAAATAAATAAATAAATAAATAAAATATTGGAAATCAGGGTGTGACTAGCCTATTTTAGAGAAAAGTGGAGATAAAACCAATAAAAATGGCAAGTCATTTTGGACTGAACAGAGCCACAGAAATTTTAAATACCTACAGTTTCATCTAAGTTGGCATATCTTACCAGAAGGATGTTTATAGGACTTTGCTACTGGAGGAGTTGAACCAAAAATAAAATCATAGGGCTCCCATTCTTCTATCTAATCAGTAAAACAAAACAGCTTCAAAAGTTTGGCCCGAGAAGAAAGTATTCCATACTTTAATCTTACACTAGTTCCTTAAAATGCAGAAGATATTTTAGAAATTCATCCATTTGCTTTATTAACATTCAGATGAGCATGGCTATCTTTAACTCCAAACAAGTCTCATTAAATTAACCTTGTGTTACATTGTGGCCATTGCTAGTCTGACTGATGAAATAGTCAATGGGTTTGCACAGCTGTTCTAATCCAGTCCCGAATAAGATGTGCATATGCCCATTGAAATAAATGGATTCAAACACAAATGATTCTCCATTTATTCCATAACCTCTCTCTTTTTCTCCCACCATTTTGCCCCTTTTTTCTCTAACATAATACTAAACTTGTTACATCTGTGCAGTCCTTTTGGATTTTCAGCAGCCAGCTTCTGACAGAAAATCTGATTTTCTCCCAGTTATATGCAATCAGTACATTAGGAGAAGAAAAAACAGCTAATACACTATACTGAGAAATGAGCCATACAAAGACAATGCTACGTACATCTGTCCGTGTTACATTTGTGACATCATCCAAAAACTTCCATCTACCATTTCCCATGCTTTTCCCAAGAAACCCAAAGCTTTTCAGTTCTGGAGAACATGCATAAGAAACAAAGAATTGTATTAACACTAGACAGTCCTGCACAGTATTTAATACATTGTACGCGAGTCCTGGCAGTGCAGGGTAAGTAGTGGGGTCAGTACGGAGGCCAATGCGTTCCAACTCATTCTTAAACCATCTGGATTAGGAGTGAGATGCCAAGGCTTACTGATGAAACCGAATTATTAAAAGTGGCAACAAATGGCAAAAAGCCCTAAAAAGATCTTCCAGATTGGAAGACAAATATGGCAAATGTGGTTCACGAATAGAAAGTATAAGGACAGAGGAGGGGTTCCAATGTCACGTGTAGGCAGATGGGATCGGAGCTGGCTGTGGCCAACTGAGGAAGAGATCTTGGTGGACCAACAAGACTATCAACTCAGTGTGCAGCTGCTATGGAAAACACACATTCCATGTTAGGCATGATTAGGAGAGGAATCAAAAATAAAACTGCAATTTTTATACTTTCCTATTACAAATCTTTGGTATGGCAAGACTCGGATTACTGTTATGTGTAAAGACCTGGTCACCTAAGAAAGGTTATTGTCGTTAGGAAAAAATGCAGAGAAGGGCAGCTAAAATGATGAAGGGGCTAGATTTAGATTCTTCTAAAGGGGCCGCTAGAACAATTTTTCTATGAGGAAACCTCATGTCTGGGGAAAAAGCAAGCAAGGGAGACATGACATGTCTACAAAATTAAGCATGGTGGGGAAGAAGTGGAGAGAGGAACATTCTGATCGCTCTCGCATACAGGGAGCATCCCATGAAGATGAGAGATTCAGGGTTTAGTAAAAGAGTCCAGCATTCAGTTATGAAGCAGAAATGGCCACCAATGGCTATATAAATGGATAAGACTATAATGAGCTACCAGCCCTTTGGTTATATGCTGCCACCAGTATCCAAGGCAGTATGTCTATGTGCACCAGTTTCTGGGGAACATGGGTGAGAGAGTGCCTTCGCACTTACATCCTGCTTGTGAATTTCCCACATGTAGCTGGGGGCGGGGTGTTATTGTGCTTACTGAACACTAGACTAGAGGATGACCCAGAGAAATGTACCAAGCCGGAGAGCATAAGCAAAGAAGAAAGTGTGTGGCTTTCCACGTGCTTACCTTGTGTAATATCATCAAAAAGGGAGAGCACATGGATGGATTTTCTCTGCCAAGGGGGCAACAGTGGATAGATCTGAGCAGAGTGCTGACACAAACAGGAAAAAAAGAAATGTGTTTGGACAAGGAAGTTAACTTGTTTTATTCCACAAATTTCCCAATAACAATAAAAAGCCAACTAATTTTTATTTTGTATTATGTGATTTTAGTTGTTGGATGCATTGATATGGATATGAGAAGCCTTTTAAAATGGAACTACTAATGCAAATCAAACATTGAAGTCCCTTTTTATTGTAATATCTTGTTTTTTAATGCTGTTAACATATTTATACTGCTTTTGGTAATTGAATATGCACTTCTCTTGGCATAATTCTCCAAGCGAGGCTGTTATAAATGCAAGAGACTAAATTGCCAGGAGATTTTTAATTGGATGCTTGGCTCAGACCTCCTGGGGTAAGGAGTAGAATGCATGGGGAAGGAAAATGTAATGCTGGGGTAAGGGAGCCACGACCTGACTGGCAGTTAGTGACATGGGAAAATTTTTTCCCATTGGCACGTTTTCCTTGTTGCAAAACAGCTGGGAAAAAAAGGATCGAAGCCTCTTCTTCCCATGTGTTGCAGATCGAATGGAAATTGCCTACTCACATCTAGGATTTTTTTAAAAGTTCTCTGTTGTCACAGCAAGCAATGGATGCAATTCAGTGACGCAGGACCTCACCTGGTCCTCCTGTCCGGGTGCCCCACATGCTCTTGCCTCTTTGGATCCTTTGGCGGTCGCCTACGTTCGTGCAGCGCTTCCTCATGCCAAAACACTGCATGCCTCCCCCAAGGCTAGGTGACCGGCACTATGGTTTTCAGACTGCTTTTTAAAAATATTTTTGCCCTGCCCCCTTTTGCCTTTGGTCCCACCTACTTTGCCTTTGGGAGCTTCCCCCACCATTGAAATATGGTCCCCCAAAGTTTCTCAAAATGGATTTTGGCCCTGGGGACGATGGAGGATTTATGACCCTCCATTAGGGGCAACATGCAGTTTGGCCCTTAAGCCACAGCTAGTTCTAACTATATTGGACTTAAGATGTGGAAAACCTCAAGAAAGATACAAAGCAGCGTAAGATTTGTACAGTTTGAAAAATGCTGCACACTCAGTAAATGGCTCTTTGGTCAATTATAGTTATTTTAGGTTGCATAATAATATGGCATTTCAGATTTATTTCCTTTATTTTCTTGCATAGCTGAAGCTATCCATGGCTCTCTGACGCATTCTGTCACATTTTAGGATCCAGGTAACTGCTAATCCAGAATAATTACAAACCCTGCAGTGACTTCATTTGTGGTACAGCGCAAGAGAAAAGGTGCTGTTTGACCCTCTAGGGAAAGCTAAAGCATGGCCCACACGGCTTAAGTTCTATGCCAGACTTCTGTCAATCTCAGTTTCTGTCTTGAGGAATCAAAATAGTGCTACTGACATGAAATCCATAGGTGATTCAGTATATATTAGGGATGTGCATCAAACTAATCTGAAGTCTTTTGCAGTTTCTTGTGCTCCCCAAGGGGAACTGGGCTTCCCTGCCAGGTAACCAGAGCTGAAGCTAGACCCTACCTGAGGGTGTGTTAGCAATGTGGCTTTGGAAAGGCACGCAGTGCGTCTCACAAAATAGTGTCTTTTAATTAATGTTTTTTTTCTATACACTGATGGGGTGAGGGGTTTCTGGACTGCCAGGTTCATTTTCTAATCACATGATATATTTTAACAGAGGATCTCTGATCATTGTGAGCAGGCTGAGCAGGTTTATGCCATTCCACAGAGGACAGTAGAGGTATCTTTACGATTAGGTTGGCCCTAAGAATACTCTGAGTGCAGAAATAGCTTTTGGTTGGCAAGAGGGGATGCAAAACTGTGCCACGGGGGTGGTGTTTACTTTTCTCTGCAGTGGAGAATGTTAAACATACAATAATTATTTTTTTAAAAAAATGCCTTTTTCCCAAGTGCTTTACATCATGTCAGCAGAAAGAATTTTGCTGCCACCCACTGGAAATGAGACATGCACAAGGATGCTGCATCTGATGAAGCGGCTATGCACACACACGTGCTCACTGAAATTAATTTGGCACCTCTTAAGGTGCCTCAAACCCTTTGCTATGTTCACAGCTTTTAAGCTTGTTCTAGTTAGTTTCTGCACAGCAGCAGAGTTGAGGGAAGGAGACTTAATGGCACCCCTGTCAGAAATCCCGAGGTTTGGGTATCACTGAGAATCTTACTCTGTGAAATACATCCCATAGAAAACATGTGTGAAGGATAAGCAACCCTTTAAATTTTGTTATGTCTTGATCATAGAAGCACTTCAGTTCTGCACGCCATGTTGTCCTTCTCTTTAGTAATCCATACACATCCCAAGGAACACACAGAAAGCATATCCAGGGATCTGTTTCTTTGATTTCCTCTGAACACCCAGGATACACAAGGGTGTTCACACTTTCTTCGCAAAAGCGCCTACATAAATGGAAAAGGAGATTCTTTGACACAGTGAACCACTGTTTTCCTTTTTAAAAGCATTCACTGTGGATGCAAATACTGTCCCTACCATCGTACAAGGAATCCTGTCCTTGCTGTAGCTTTGCATGATAGGCAAGAGATGTGTGGGAACAATTCTAAAGTAACACGCAAAATAGGAAGCTGTGCGTTTGAGGGATGCACGTGCTCTTGACGTGGGAAAAATTCACACATTACATTGCAAGCGAATAATTTTTGTGTTCCCATTTTGATATTATAACCAAAAGTGCAAAAGAGGAAGTCTGAGTGGGTTCTTTCTCACTTCCCTGTGGTATCTGAATATGCTCTTCCTCAAATTGGGCAAAACCAAATTAAGTTAAAAGGATGTGCAAGCTTGTGTGCAAAGCCCAGTGCCCGGTGAGATGGGCAACACCATCTTTAATTAAGTTGTATGATTCTGTTAGCTAAAGACTACAGTCCTGCTTTGCAGCCTTTCCTAGAAGTGTGTAGTATGGCCCTACTCCTTGAAATGATTAAAAAATAATATTCATAAATGTAATAATTAAATAAAAGCACATGATGAATTAAACCTCCACAATGAACAAAGATGGGGGGGGGGAGGATGTTTACTAAACAGAAACAACAAGAAAAGGCAAATACGCCATGGGAACATTTTCCCTGCCTGCATGCCTATTGAGCAATGGTTTCCCCGCTGGGCAGGGGCTGTTGGGATGCCTGAGTCCAGAGACGGCAGGTGGCTGGAGCGGCTGGCAAAGCACCCTGTGATCCACGGCCACCTGCCCGGCCACCATCCCCTGCTCGGTCTGGACTTCAGGACAACCTGTGCCACGGGGGCTCATTTGCCCTCTGCGTTCGTGAGACTCAGATCAGGGAGAGAGGGAGAGGAGATGAGGCCACTGGGGCTTGTTGTCCCCACCCCCCATGTGCGTGGGGCGTGCACGACGTAAGTGCTGAGCTCCCTTGCGCTGGCAGCTTCCTCTCTTGTCCAAATCCAGCCCGAGTGCTTGGCGCGGCGTGGGGGCGGGGCTGAACCCATCCCAGGATCCTCCCACAAGATGAGGGTTCATCTTGTTGCTGCAAAGAGATACGCCAGGCAAGGCGGGCAGGGCAGCAATGCTTGTCCTGCATGCGCTGGGGCAGGGGAACGAGGCCGGGGTGGCTGGGTTCCACCCAGGCAGAGAAAGAGGGAACGACTGGCCGGTGGACATTGTCATGGAGGGGGAAACAAGCCATCGGGCTTGTTCACCCCAGTTCTGTGAGTGCCGGTCACATCTCAGGGAGATCAGCGTAATCAGCACAACTGGCCATGGTGTGCAACCCCGGCCAGAGTGGCGCTTTGCGAGGGGCAACAATCCAGGGAAAGACCAACGACAGGCCATGACGTCTGAGTGGCTTGCTACCCGTCTTGCTCCTCTCATAATGTCCCCTGGGATACTGCCTGGGGGAAGGAGGGGAAGGAGGGTGGAGGGAGCGCAGCACCCGCAATGGCCCTCAGCGGCCCCTTGTCCCCTCTGGTACCTTCTTGAAAAATAAGTCGGTTCTTTAGCATGGGGCCATGTTAGGGTTTGCTCCACTACAGCTAAAGCGACCCACCTTTGAGCCCGGGCCATGCCTTTCCCCACCCACACATTTTCCTAACGGTGGGGGGTTCCTGTTGAAGGTGTCTCCCTTTTGAACACTCCAGTGTTTTCCCACTGCTTCTCCATTCTCCTTTCTATAGAAAACCAGTTAGGGAAATACCAAAAACTCCAACATGGTATTGCTGCATAAAGCCTTCTGGCAAGTGGCTCAAGACCCGACTTCGTGCATTTGGGCATCAGTCACCTGTGACATCTGGGATTGTCACACATCAGTAAGGATTTGCCCCAGCAGCGGACTGAGCAGTCGGCCTGGAAGCCGTCATCATCACACAGGAAGATGACAGCCGTCATCATCACACTCTCCAAAAACCTTTCCTTAGAAAACAGAAGGCAAACAATCCCCACCCTGAAAACAGCTGTGTTAATGATAACGTTTAGCATTTCAGCCCATTCATACGAAAGCGCCCTGATTCTTAAAACAGTCCTTTATAGTGTGCTGATGTCTCCATAGGAAAGCACTGTGTGCAATGCTGAACCAGAAACTTTCAGCACTTCTCAAGAAGTTGCAGTTTTACTTTACTATGTAGGCTTGATAAATGCAACATTGGCTTTTTCTCTCAATATGTTTTGTAAACTATCCTTTAAAAATGTAACTTTGTGTTTCTTTTCAGATATTTGTGGATTGAAACATTCTGATGCTTCTGATCATGTTTGCATTTCACTTAATGCTTTCTAATGTTTGAAACATTTTGAAAGAAAGTGCTTTTTTCAAAGATAACTTTGCTGCTGATTATGATACTTTGCTCTTGGTGGATCTTAGTTCACTTTGACTTCCAGTTTCTCAGACTGGGAAACGGACAGCTGATGTGACCTGGAACAAATAGACTACAAAAGGTGAACACCACCAAAATTGAATACTGTTGCCATTATGATTACATCCCCAACATTGCCAGGATGCAAATACAATGCATATTTACAAAGAACTAAGTCTTGCAACTCCCAGCAACCATGATGGGCTGGGGAATGCTGGGAGTCCTTTTTTTTTCTGTCCAAGCTTGGGTGCTTTTACTCTGAACTAGATCCTTGGAACATCTGAAATACAATGAGAGGTGTAGCTTTGAACTTGAAGTCTGCCATGCATATGGAAGTATATAATTTGAGTCTGCATTTTGTTCAGATGTGCCTCCTACTCTCCGAAACCAAATGCAGAAGGAAACAGTTCTGCCTGGTTGTAATGGAAACCTGCTTGGCATAGGGCTGGCTGCTGTGAATCAACGTTAATTGTGAACTCTCTTCCAACCCTCCAAGTCTTATCCCTAGTAGCTTTTCAGCATTTAAAAGATCAATTATGATTTTTAAACAGGATATACATATATTTAGTTGAATAAATACAGATGTAAGAGGAGATCAACCCTGACTGGTCATTAGAAGCCCAGATCCTGAAGATGAGCCTAATGCTGGGAACAACTGACGGCAAAAGAAGAAGGGGATGGCAGAGGATGAGGTGGCTGGATGGAGTAACTGAAGCAGTTGGTGTGAGCTTGAGTGGACTCTGGGGGATGGTGGAGGACAGGAAGGCCTGGAGGAGTGTTGTTCATGGGGTCGTGATGGGTTGGACATGACTTCACGACTAAGAACAACAAAAATAACTTCAATTTGTTTTCAAAGATGGTTAGCTCACTTGAAGCATGCAAGAACAAAGTGCCTGCAGAAAGAATTGGTGCTGGAGTCAGTGGTGTGTAAGCACTACCCTTAGGGCCTTCCAGAAAGACCTGAGTAATTCACTTTTTACTCAGAGGCTATGAACTAAACACACTTTAATGGAAGAACATGGGTCCTGACATGGAAGATCTGCAATAATTCCTGTCAGCTACTCACTGTGTATGGCTCACACATTCCTCCATGAAACAAGGGATGTTGTGTGTGAATCTCCAGTCCTCCACAGCACATGCAGATTTCTACAGAGCACAAAAGAATCTGATCTTATCCAGTGCTTACAATTTATCAACTGTTGCTGTAGATCATTGTGACTTTTAAGGGAAAAAAAACATTAAATTGGTTGTTCAAATGTGAAAACAATACAATATGTACTATTAAACTACATTAAAAATATAAAAATGCATCAGAATCACTCTAGGTTTCACTATCATTTCAATTAAATTAGATGTAATATTTTGTTGTCATACTTTTGATCATACAAGGGCATCTCCTGCCAGAAAGGGACAGGACTTACAGATATAAAAACATTTTAAGAATGCTGCAATATTTCCCATTTCTCAGAATTATTTTCCTTGCCTAATCAAGTGGATTTTTCTTCTGAGCTGGGAACACTCGTTTCCCTGGTCCATGGTTGAGCCTCCCATTTTCCTCTTTCCATAAGTCAGTTTTTCATGATAATCACAGACCTTTTCATAGGATGTGCCAAACCAGCAGTCTTCCCCAGCATCACATCTTCCAGAATATCCTGGACTACAACTCCCACTATCCCCAGTGATACTGGCTAATGGAGATGATAAGGGTGGTAGTCCAACACAGTTGGTGGGCACCAGGTTGAAAGGCTGCAATAGAGATGGAGTGAAGGGTCCGTGCTGACAAACAACAATCGAATTCATTTGACTTTGGGTTCTGCAAGTTGAGGTGGTTTTGCAGTTGCAAACTAGACATGGAATGGGCACAGACACTTATGCCATTTTCAGCACTGTCTTTGTTCCACAGTGATTGCCTTGAAACTTGGCAGACAATGCATCTGTCTGTCAGTCAGTCCTGTAATGTACACACAGCTTTTATTGCTTTGGAAACATAACAACAAAAATAATAGTGATCTTAAAAGTCTGTTATCATAAAAATCCCCACTGCACTGTAATCCAATTGACACAGTTTGGGTCAACAAAAGAACTCTATGCATCATAATCCGACTGTCCCAATCTGGAAAGTCCTTTTCACAGCAGGAAAAGGACTTTCCAGATTAGGAAATATTGTGTGCCTAGATTGTGCCAAAAAGCAGCAGCTGTTCCCACGGAATCTTCGATGGGGGGCAGTGAAAGGGAGAGGGAGGGGAAGTGGGCGAGGTCAGAGCATTTAATTCCTCACACCACCCACACAGGTGATCAGTATGTTGTGAAACTTTAGAGCTGTGATCATTTGGTACGTTGCTCATGGTTCAAATCCATTGCAGCCTTGATTGCCGTGAATGGAAACCAAGGCAGGGATCTAGAAAGCACGCCTGCAATGGGATGGGGTGCTTGTGTCTATTCATGAATGCCATTGCTGTCATGGGTGGATGAGCATTCACCGAAGTAAACATGTCAATAAAACAACTATAAGAAAAACAGTCACAGCAAGAACAACATTATTTAGAGACATCATTTGATCCGGTGAATTTTGGCTGAATACTTGGATCACTTTTTGTTCCTTTTTACTCCAGATGGTTACAAATGAACTAGAACAACAGTTCTGAAAAAGAAATTACATGTTTCCTTGTGTTTAAACAGGAGCATGTCATCTTAGCAGAAGCACTCTCTCCTGAGCTGAAGAGATGGGGCAGTAGTTTTTCTATGATGGATGCTTCGTATATTTTGTGTACGTATTTATTTTATTTTTTTATAAAAAATTGCCACCCAATTAATTGGGGAAAACCTTTTCAATCAAAGGTATTAAATGACTAAACATTGAAGTCCTCCAAATAGTTATTCTAGTCATATTGTTAGTATACAGAAAGAGTAAACTAGTCACAAAAAGTACTCATTTCTCACCTTCAATACTTCTCTCATTAGATTTGACTTCATACACAATATTTCCTGGAGGGGGAAGAAAGAATCAAGGTAACTTTCATAGGAGATGCTTAAATCAGTTTGTGATCACATTGGCCTATAATTCAAATGTAACATTAGACTAATGTAACATAAATCCCAGTACATAGGCTTTTCCACACAAAGCTGTTAATTCATTACATCCACTTTGGTTATGAGCAGATCTCCTTTCCTGTGTTTTCACTGCATAACCACTAGGTGGCACAGAGGGCACTGATACCCAGGTAGGAACTGCATCCTCCTTCTGCAATCGGAAACAAGCCCTCATTTCCCTGCTCGAAAATGTCTCATGGCAAGGGCAATTTCTGAACCCACAATAAATGCCTTGTGTAAAAAAGTTCTTCATCTGATCTTTCTTCATGATTTTATCCAACACTGGCAACAAAACATTCATTCATTAGATTTCTATCAAAACTGCCCCTTTACATTGTTGTGTCTTTTGAAATAGTTTCACAAGTGTAAGAAACCCGTCCTCGGGCTACAGTGCAAACAGGCTTGTACTGGCAGACACAGGCATCAGATTGGGATGGTAATTAGACCTGCTTCTGACAGTGGAACTTCCATCATGTTTAAAGCAGAGGTTCTCATCATGACGGTCTCCTTAACTGTGCCCAAATGGAGATTCCAAAAACGTCGGCTGTGGTGTCGATCCCTATTAAAACACCGGTGTTCTTCATTGCCTAAAGGAGGTCTTTGTAAAGTCCCTCTAAACCCAATCTGCCATAAATATTTTCATCCCAGAGACCAATAGATCATTGCTGGGAAAATTCAGCTCCCAGGCCAAGCCTTGGTGAGAATTGTGGCCAAACTCAGACGGAACTGGGGAGACTGAGAGGAAGCTGAGATGATGTGAGCATCCCTGCAACCTCTTTCAGGCAAGCCTGTAGTTCGATAAAATGTCACCACACAGCAGGTTTGCATGGTCTAGTGGTGTGTCAGCTCTAAAGGCTACAGGATGTGATGCATGATGGTATTTGGTTCCTAGGAGGGTATTATTTCATTGGCTCCTAGAATCAGGGTGTTAGCAGGGCCAAAAAGTCTAGGTGCATAGTTCCCAAGGGCAGCCAAGGTATTTTCCAGCTTGAGGCATAAATATGCAAGTAGATAAAACTTTCAGGTGTTTCTCCTGCTCCTTGGCAGTAAACAAATAATTACATCAGCATCATCCAAAAGCAGCTAATTATTCATTGCCATTTCATGACCCTTGCAATCAGCCGCTTGCTCTGCCTGGCACCAAGTTGGTTTTGGTGCCTTCCCAGGGCAGGAAGAAGGCTAAGCAGCAGGACTGCCACCCCAAACCCTTCTTATAGATGAGACAGTTTCAATGGTATGGAAATTTGGGGGACGGGTGGGATGGAGAGTGCAGATTGTAAAAAGTAACTGAGGATTAGCACTGTGGAGAAGTACAGGAGCAAACTGTCAGTTCCTGAAGCAGAAGCAATGTACCCTAAAGCAGAACAAAATGCCAGTCCTCTTGAAAAAGATTCTGTACCTTTGCTTGGCTTGGGTGTGTTGAACTCTTCTACAGAACTTACGGAAATGATGGAATTGGAGTGACAGCTCCCCAGGGAGACAGCTGAAAATGTGAGATGAATGTGAGGAGTGGGAGAGGAAGAGAAGGAGAAATCGAAAAGAGTGGCATATTCATCCACTTTTGGTCTAAGATAGCTAGGATACTTCCTGTCCTGGGTGGCTTTGGACAACACTTAGGATTGATGTGAAGTCACACTTTTTTGAGCTCAACCCAACTGGCAGTATATCATACTGCAAATACATAAAGAAATAAAATAAGATCAGGGCTAAGAGCCGGGTGAGTGCCAGTTCTGCCTCCACTGGGTAAACCAGCAAGGATGCAAGGGAGGTAGTGAGGCCAGCTAGTGCAGCTGCCCTGCGGCCAGGGAAGGCTTGGCTTGGTCCAGCCAGAGTTGCCCGGGCCTGGGGCAACCACTGGGAGTGACACAAAGGGCAGGAAGCTGCCAGCCGGGCTAATCCACAGCAGAGCTCATTTTGCTGCTGGTGTGTCCTCCTCTTTCTGCGAACCTCTTACAGTCAACCTGCCAACATCGTGTCTAAGCTCCTCTTAAAACACCAATACTTATGCTAGGCCTTTGGGGACTTGCAGGAGCCCTTTCTTCCACAGAACTGACTGAAATGATCCTAGGAACACTTCCGGCATTGAAGGACAGAGCTGAAAGAGAGAGAGAGGGCCCGTGAAATCATTTTATCTGGAAGAGCAGTCCTGGTGACTCTGCTAACATCTGACCGAGGCTGGCAAAAAGTTTTTAAACTGTAAAGAATAAGTTAATCTGTCCCCGAAAAGCACAACCCAGGATGCACATTCATGTCTCAGTCAACCCCAGTGATGACCTTGCTCAGCTTGTGACAAGAAACCTTCCGATTTGTAGTTTCAGACCCAGGTGGGTGGCCTGAAGTCTATACATTTCCAAGGCTGCAATGTGATTATGGTTGCTATTATTCATCTCTTTTCTATACTGCCCATTTGTCTAAGCTCTTTGGGTGGTTTACATCAGCAGTGCATTAAACAATTCATACATTTTTAAAATGCACATAATATGTATACATTTGAAAAATGTGCATGATCCATGCAAACATTTGGGGAAGGGGACTTCCAGGAGGGCTTTATCCTGTGTTTTGCCCTTCTTCCCGCATGGATTTTTTCAGGGAACTAGAGGTCACAGCCATCTCCCAGCAGAGGCCTTCCCATGTTTTCTCTCTGCTTCTTCCATCTTCACACAAAATATCCTGTTAAGGAGGAAAAGATGGAAGAGCTCAGCAGTGTCCTTGGACTGGTAGTGCCGGGGTCGTCCTTCTGGAAGCACCCAAGTCAGATCACTGGTTGATCTACTACCTCAGTTTGGACTATACTGACTGGCAGCAGTTCTCTAGGATTTCATGCAGGAGTTTTTTGCAGCCCTTCCTGGTGAGACTATCAGTTGGGACCTTCCACATGCAATGATTCATGAGTTCTATAGCTGAGCCGCACCTGCTCCTCTATATGTGAACCCCTTACTGGAGAAAGTACCAGCCTTGTTGCAGAAGCAAGGAGAATGTTGGATTATTCTGGCCCGTGAACTAGTGTGTTTATTTATTAAAACATTTTTATGCCGCCCCATTCGCCGAAGCCTCGGGGTGGCTTACAACAAATAAGAGAAAATCGTGTCTCTGCCTCCAGGAATAGCCATCACAGGCCAGATAATAACAAGTGACCTTACACAGTTTGGCTGGACCATTCTTTGCTTGGTAAAGGCAGACTGCAAGCATGTCACTTCATTTCGTCACATTCCTGGGCAGACCTGCTCTTGCATGAAGTTATCTTTGAAGTGTGAGTTTGTGAAGGTAGTTCTACTCCTGGACTCATCACTTGCAGAAGGCATCATTTTTATAAGCATTGCATGAAAATGTACTTTGGATGAATTAAAGGAACATGCTAGGAATTAGCTCAGTACTGAAAAGCTGGCTTTTTTAAAAAAAGCCCTCCAGTTGGTCAGGTCTGTAACCACACAGTAAAGTTTGATTGATTGATTGCCTGAAAAGGTTCTCTAGATGTGTTTGACTGCAAAGGCCTAGTCAGGCATGTCTCAGTTGTTGCTCTTCTTAAATCACATCAGTTTTGAAAGTACCTGCAGGAGGACGTGCTGAATATGCTCAGAAGAATCTGTCTTCTACTCACCTGAGCCTGAGAGGCTGAATATTTCCTCCGAGTCACTTCCAGTGTCCACCATGATGACTGCTGGATGTCCCTGAGACATGATTATGGAGGATGTCTCTGCCTGCCTCTGCTTAACTGCCAGACCTGGGAACTCGGATCCTTTCCTTCCTATAGCACAGGGATCAAAGTTTCAGAGGGAATTGAGTCTGTGTTTTCTGCAAGGGCAAAAGAAGTGGTGCCCCTGGACTCAGGCAGAAGGGCATAGATAGGGGAAATCTGTAACTGAGTTTGTGTAAAGGGAATTCCGACTCTACTACAAAAGTTCTGCTATGGAAGTAATACAGCTATTTGTTGCATCTAAGAAATCACAGTATTACTATTTGTTTGAGGCTAGACAGAAGGAGAATCAGTAGGATCCACTCTAGACTAGACTAGACTTCCACAACCTGGCATTCTCCAGCTGCTTTGCACAATGAGCTTCTCTACACGAGGCTCTTAATCTATGACTCCGCTGAGGCTTCTGCTTCCAGATCCTTTATAGGATTAAAATAGGCTCCTTTGCGCATGCTTTGTTCTTGCTCTGCCTTTGTTTGTGTCCTGTGACACAACCACAAGGTGCTGCTTTTCATTCGGTTTCATTCCAACTTCCTTGCTCAGATTACCCTTGAAAAGCATGGGAGAGACCCTGAAGAATGACAGCGAGATATAAAGTATTCACAAATTGTTGTGAATGAAGGATTGTGAGGGCACGGTAATTGCCTCAGCCGACAAGACTTATAATACCCAGAACTGGCTGGGTTTATGAGAATTAAGTCCAGAACACCTAGGCTTCACCAGGCCTGGGGAAGGCAGTTCTTAGCTGGGATCATCCCTTGGAGATCTGGAGATCTCTGTATGCAAAGGAGAATTGCGCTCCACGCTTTGTTCCAAATTATACTCTGGGTTCTGATTGCAATCCTCAACACATTTGCTAGTAAGTCCCACTGAATTCCATGAACCTTAAGTAAGGAGGCAAACAGGTCGAGGCTGCAGTCTTGTAAAGCCACTTAAGCTGGGATAAGCCCAAGTACATTCAAAGGGATTGACAGTGGAGAAGACCTGTTGAGAAGATAGTACTGTCAGGGTGATGTTGCCAATTGGCAATGGTTGAAGATTGCAACCATTTAAAGTTGCCTTCCCCAAGCTGATGCTCTTCAGTTGTGTTGGGCTGCAGCACAACTGGCTAGGCTGGCTGGGGATGATGGGTGTTGTAGTATAATGCCTCTGGAGGGTGCCAGGGTGGGAAAAACTGATTTAAGGTAGCGTCACAAGACTCTGTCCTTTCCTGTAACCCACCTTGTGTGACCGTGCCGTTAATTTGTCTTGCTAATAATATAGAATCGCCAAAAGAGGAGTGTTTTAAAATATTTCATTGCACATTATGGAAATCCTCTTTTCTATAGCACATGTTCATAGAAATGCATCCCAAATCTGGACTCTGAAAGATCGCAATTTCACGTGCATTTGAGACCGAATTGTGGGGAGATCTGAAATGCGCCTTTCCTCAGACGAAAGAGAAACAGGGAAGCTTTTCCTGCGCTTCACCCCCTCGCGCTAGACCAGGCTGCCCGTTTCCTTGCAAGAGCAGCAAGGAAGGCAGCTCGCTCCCATGGGCGTTCCCGTGCCGTTTCACAGAACTTGCATCATGTAAGGCTATCAAAAGGATCCCGGGCCGACTATACATCCCCGCCTTACCAGAATGCAGACCTTCTCAGTACCGTGCAGCGACCTCCTCTGAATCGCTGGGCGCAAAGCACTCGCGCGGAGGAGCGAGGACCGCTGAGGCTCGCTTGCCCCCTAGTGCCGTAGTTTGGTATGACACCCGAAGACAACGTTAGGCTTCTGCAGATTAGTTCGAGGCGCTGAGCATGCGCCCCAGCAGCTGCTAATAGAGGCTTTTCTCGTTCCGTCAGCCTCGCCACGCTACTCAGGGCAGGAGCGGAATGCCAACTGGTCCCTTGCCAAACGGCCAGCTCTTCCCCATGTCAATAGTATCATGCGTGAGAGCCCTTTGTGGAACGACTGTGCACCGGGGCTTAGAATTACTTCATACATGCATAAACTTCCCTAATTTGTATAATCTCATTCTCAAACTGTCTGCTATATAAAATCGTAGGCATATCGAGATAGTTGGTGGTAGCGAAGGAACGTTTTGTTTCTCAACTTTAGGCACCATCCAGAAAGTCAGAGAGCATAATGCAGCATGTCATCATTTTGATATTAGAACTGCTAATCAAATGCTCGACACCAAGGCTGTGATCCCAAACGTGCCTGGGCAACAATCTTGTGCCTGTTTAGAGAGGGAAGATGCCCTGCAGTTTGGAATGTTGGGCTTGGGAGATTCAGGCTCAGTCATGAAGCTCACCAGGTAACTTGGGCCAGCCATTTCCTTACCTCCCTCGCAGGGTTGTTGCGAGGATAGAACAGCCAGGAGGAGAACCTTATAAGTCTTCCTGGGCTGCCTGCAAGAGGAAGAAAGGTGGGTTGTAAATGCAATGCAATGCGAGTACAATTCCTAGCACTGCCCAGCCAGCCCTAGACGCTGTTTTTGTCTCCATATGCACTGGATGGCACTTGCAGTAAAGAGGACACGCCACTGAAGATGGTGGGGCTCACTCCACAGACATGCGTAGCACTGCTCTGTAAATGCCAGACTGCAAAGGGGCCTGTAGGTTCATCTACTGCAGAGCACAGAGTCACATCGCTGTAGTTCAGAATAGTTGGTTGATATCCAGCACCCTTTTCTGCACCTTCTCCTTCAGTCATGAAATGCAGGGCTTATGGAGAATTCTTCTGGGTGCAACAAGATTCTCTAACTTTCTCAGTTGAAAAGATGAGTGTAGCACTCCTCCTGCAGAGGCGAGCTGTATCCGGTTCTGCAGGCCTCCACAGTTCTTGCCAGGACTGGCCCTCAAGTTTCTACATGCTAATAGGGCTTGCTTTAAGACTGACACCTATCTCAGAGCTCAGCAAACAAGCTGTGCAGTGAAGGACAATACTGAACCGCTTCGTGAATGCTTTTTCTTTCTGGTGATACCTGGAATTGTAAAGGCTTTTTTTCGACACAAGGCTCTTAATCTGTTGCATCTGTTGGTTTTGTTGCAGAACTGAGATCCAAGTATTATATGAGGAGTGTCTCCTTTCTTGCTTGTTTGTTATACAACCACTAGGTGGCGCAGTGGTGTAATGGAACGGCAGAAATAAACAAGTGGAAATGTTTTCTTTTCCTTTAAAAAATGATACTCCATTTTCCTTGCTCTAAAAGTCTTATCAAAACAAACAAACAAACAACAAAGACTTTCTGAAAGTGATGTTTACAACCAGAAGTGAAACTTGAGGTTCATTATGCTATCTAGAGAATGAGTAAAGAACTGTAAGTAGGGAATGAAGTGTGCATAATAAATACCATATATGGAAAAGCTCTTTGACAGACAACCTCAGGTTTATAAACTTAACTCATCCTTGTTAAGCTTGCTTGTATAAGTTTTTATTTGCTATGTTTGAATTGCTCCAAAGGGCTAGGGATATTTCTTTTATTTTCTCTTAACAAAAATCACTGAAGAAGACAATCATGCTAGGGAAAGTTGAAGGCAGAAGAGGAAGACTGGCTATGAAATAGTTTGATTCCATAAAGGAAGTCACAGCCTTGGGTTTCCAAGAACTCTGGGGCTGAGAAGGACAGGGTAGTTTGAAGGATATTCATTCAAAGGATTGCCGTAGAGCAGAGTTGACTTGACAGCATGCAACAACAGCAACAACAACAATTTCAAAACAATCCTGCAGTGTAGGTTTGGCTGAGAGAGGATGACTAGGTCTACTCTATCTATCTATTCGATTTGTATCCCACTTTTTTTTCTTCTTTAAAGAGCTCAAAGCAGCTTACATCATTCATCATACTCTCAGTCTTATCCCCACAACAACAACCCTGTGTGGTAGGTTGGACTGGGAGTCTGTGACTGGTGCAGGGCCCAAAGCCATCTAGTTGGCTCCATGCCTAGTCAGAACTAGAATCCAGATCCCCCAAGTCTCAGTCCCACACTCTTAACCACTAAACCACACTGCTTGAGGGGAGACCTCAATAAGTGGGCTGGATCCAGAGTCAGCCAAGTTTATTGTAACCCTGTTGAAAGCAATGGAACTTGATCTAGTCATTACTAACGTGATATGCACTGATTTCAATGAGTTTACTCTTGGTATGGTGGTATTTGGAGCCAACCCGAGGTCTCTAATCAAGTCCAAAATTGTTATCAGTACACTGTACAGGCACTTTCAGCCAATAGGGGATCCATATCAGTGGGATGTGTGTGTCCATGTGGAAGGGAATTTGCTGGGGAAGGATAACAACAAATGCAAGCAGAATCCATCCTTTGTACTTTGGAAAGACTTCCATGTTTGCCTGTAACTACTTTAGAAGAACTGAACTGGTCAGGGAGATGGAGAGGCAGTTGTGGGGAGGAAGGAATGAGGAGGTCTGTGCCACCAGCCCAGCTGCACCAACCAACATCTGGATCCAAATTCACAGCCCGTGTGGGCCAACTCCCATTCTGGTTAAGCTGTACCTATGTCAGCATCTGCTTCGCAATCTTCCTTTAGGGAAAAAACGACGCGCTAGCTAGTTCTTTCCCACGATGTCTTCCTAATGTGTCTGCCCTGTTTGCTAGGTGGACCTGCTCCTATCTGGGCAAGGGTGGTGGTGATGGTGGTGGGGACCCTTTAGCAAAAAACCTCCGACAAACAGACAAGCACAGAGTCACACTAACTGATTACCCTGTGGGCGCTTCATGAGCCAGTGGCAGCTGTGATGTGCCACTCAAGGCAAAAGCAGACTTTACTTTTAGCACAGATTATGTGGCTGTGTTGTCCTCCTATTTTGCTGTTCAGCAGGCAGAGGGTGGGCAATTGGTACCTTAAGGCCCCCTTACTCACTTTGAAACCCTCCCAGCCTATGTTAGAGTTTTAAAAAATGGAGGCAGGAAGAACTTCGCTGCTAGAGACAGACTGAAAGTACTGTCTGTTTTGGCCCCAGCTCAAGGGACTATGATAAGAAAGAAAGGGCTTTTTTGAGCATATGCAAACAGCCTTTCCTTCACTCCAGAGAAGCCAGTGGGAAGGTGAACGGCAGGCAGGACTCTGGGGCTAGTGAGTGACGGCGATGGGCTGCTTCCTGGCACAGGGCAAGTGAAGAAAGGTGAGAAAGCCACCAGCCCTCCCGCTACTGTCTTTTCATCGCCGAGCTGATTCTCACCAGTATGTCCATGACCACAGAGAATAATAATTCAGACCAGATGGAATACCCACCAAAGCCCCTTAGTAAAGAGCACAACAAATTGACCGTGTGACCCTTTAGCAACGGTGAACCGGAGAACAACATCAAAAGTTAGTCGCCTCCCTCCGCCTCCTCCACTGGAGAAATGTAATATATGACCTATGGACTGGCAGTCCCTGGAACAGATCTAACGGCTTGCTTGAATACATTCCAGGAGATTTCAAGGTTCCAGAAAAATAATGGTAATATCAAGGCCATTCTGTTGGTTAGCAACAGGTTCTACTGGAAAAACACAGCTCTCCAAAGCTTGCTTATCTATACTTGTTACTTGGAAACCACATCCTGTGAACTGTTGATTTCTGTTTTTTAAAATAAGAATGAGCAAGTGTGTGTGTGTGTGTGTGTGTGTGTGAGAGAGAGAGAGAGAGAGAGAGAGAGAGGTGCAGTTCAGGCTCCATTTGGTTACTTCACCTAGACTTGTAGCCCCAGAACCTTAGTAAAAGCGCTAGCATAGATAATCAAATAAGAAAGGAACACATTTCTTTGAGCATGGGCAAAGTACCTTTCCCTCATCCCAGAGGAAGCACAGCAGCTACCACAGATCCAGAGAAGGGAGGGAATTCCAACATGGTACAATGGCCAATCCAGTGGATCTCAATATAGCAGACAAGGGTTCTCACAGCTCCTCCTTGATGAAGCTTATTCATGGTGGGCCTGTCCTCTCAGTCTTGCCAAGCTCCCAGGGTTGTTCTGCAGTGCTGCTATAGGCCCCGTGATAACGAGAGTGGCAGCTCTGGGTATGCTGCTGCTGCTGCTGCTGCTGGAGAATATGGCCAGAAAACATGATTCACAGGCACGTTGGAATCCCAGCATTATTCAGCTGCGATAGCAAGTGCTGATAGCAACACATCAATAAATGTGTTGGAAGGCACTATTAGTGACTATGTTATTTTGCCCTTTCCCTGAGAAGCTCAAGGAATCATCAACTTGGATTTTCTCCCATTTATCTACCTAACAACCCTGCAAGATAGATTAGGCTAAGAAAATGTGAACCCCAGTTCTAACCCTGATATGTTACTTTGGCATTTCCATTAGCACTCCTAATGCTGTCCCTTTGTGCTTAGTAAAGGGATTCAGAACTAGGACTGTTCATCTACCCAGCAGGATGGAAACCGCTAACAAAATTTATTCCCTCTCCTGTGCACCCCCAAATCTGCTTAGGGCATGTGAAGACTCTGGAGCAGATTCGTGGCATGTGAAGCATGAGAGAGTAGCACCTGGGGAGATCCTCTGGCATACTTGAAGTCCGTTTGTGTGATGTCTGACAGAGCTCAGAATAACTAGAAATATGCGGCGTGCCAGTCAAGCTAACAATAATTCAGCCATTGAGGCTGATCTGGTCATTTAGGCTGCATTGT